TTTTTTTTTTTTTTTACGCAATAGAAAACAACAATGCCCCCCCAAAAAATCTGGGCGTGCAGGGCTTTTTCAGCCCTGCACGCCCTTTTTTTTTTTATGCGCTAAAATACGAAAAAAAAAATGCTGCACCAAACTTGGCTGGTCGGCCGTGGCCGAACCCGGCCGTGATCGGGCGTGCAAAGGTCGTCCTCGTCGGCGATCGGGAAAAGAGGGAGGACGCTATTGTGGAGTGATGTGAGGTTCAAGCACGGGCAGTTGCCCACACTCACGTTCAAGGTGGCAAATCTTGACTCCATACAAGTCCTTACTCGTCCCACTGCGCCCGATCCCATTGCAGAAATGCAAGTTGCTACTCGTGTTGACTCCAATAAAAAAACATTCCCTGGTCGCTTGCTCATACGCCCAGGTGAGCAGAGAAGTTCACGTAGTGCCTGCAGAAACAGGGAAAAGGAGAAAAAGGCCGGTAATGATATTGCACGAGTTTTGAACGCAGGGATTGGCAGTTAGTTGGGGGGGGGATGCATCAACATACTCATGCACGCAGGTAGACATGCAACACCCAATGCCCTGGACATACATTCAGGTGTGCCACAAGACGAAGACACCACACGCGTTCAATTCCCATACATCGATAGATTTTCTCATAGCGAAGCATTCAACATCCATAGACACTCACAACCAAATCCATCCACACGACTAAGAATTCAATTTCACTAAGCGCATGTTTGAGACATCCACACATAGTCCTTAGCGTACAAAACAAATGAACAAAGCAGCAATGGAGAAGAAGTGAGTCCATCGCTATTCAAAATTAGAACAATATCTGCATTCCATGTGCACGACCACCAAACCCAACCAAACGCGAGCCAACCATAGCCACAAGGCCCAACAGTTGACGGTGTTCCCTTCTCAACCACTGCTCAGTACCTCTGACAGCCTTACCCCAAGTTTATCGCTAATTTCACTCCACATCGTCAACCCGCTAGTTCCTTGGGCACTTCGAGCCTGTTCGGCGTTTTCTTCTCACATAGCTCGCGTAGCATTGCAGCCGAGATCGAAGTGGTGGAGAGGAAGGGGCTGCACAAATTTATAGCGTGGAAGGCGGCAAGGCACTAATGTGTAGTGCGGGTAGTGAGGAGCATAGAATGAGAAGGAGGGAAGTAGGAAGGTTGATCAAAATTATTGTTCACTTGAGGTGGTCGTCCAAGCCGCACGCGTAAGTTCACCCTTGCAGCTTGATCCGACCAACCAAGCTGACGACCAATCAACAACGCCGAAGAACAAAGAGGGGATCAGACGAAGGGTCTGGAGGAAGACGAAGAGGTGCATGAAGACGAAGGACAAATGGAAAGGAAGTTGGTGTGTGTGCGCTAAGCAGGGAGCGAGTGTGCGTGGTAAACGAGAATTCAAAAATGGTCGCACGCACGTACACTGATTCAAAAAAAATTAAGAACATCATCAATCGAAACTCATAACTGTTTCTCAAAATTTCCACACGATCATTAGTCGGTCGCACGAGACTACTTTGAACAAGGACAAGAGCAAATATGAAAGATGCATGCAGAAGACCCTCAAATATTCAAAATGGACCACATTTTTGTAGCCAGCCAAGATCCGTACTTCGGGGCTTACTTCAGGGTTTAATCTGAAGGGTACATGAAGCTGCGAGGTACGGAAGTTGGGTTATCACACTCGTGCCACATGTATGCGTGTGCATATGTGTGTGTGTATGCATACGCGTTTTGTTTTTTCCCAAGCAACCAATCAATCAACGAATCAATCAATCGTTCAATCAATCAATCAATCAATCAATCAATCAATCAATCAATCAATCAATCAATCAATTTTCATTAGTCAATATCTCAATAAATCAATCAATAGATTTTGATTTTTATTTTAGTACTTTTTACAACCAATCAGTCAATTGGACAATCGAACAATCAATCAATTAATCAATCAAATCTTAATCAATCAATCGATCAGTCAATCAATCAATCAATCAATCAATCAATCGATCGATCGATCGATCAATCAATCAATCAATCAATCAATCAATCAATCAATCAATCAATCAATCAATCGATCAATCAATTTTTTCACCTCATTCCCCGCTCCCCCCCCCCCCCAAAAAAAAGCAAAAAAAAACAAAATTGAATGATGTTCGAGGGGATTTTTTTCTTCTTTCTCATTTTTAAAATTTTTAATAGCAAGGGGTCGTCGGGTCCCCTTACACAATCCCCTCCCCATCCTTTTCCGTTGGGGGGAGTCCTTGAAGGTCAAGAAAACCCGTAAACGGTCGTTCACGGGTTCAACAGTCACTAACGGTCTCTTTCACATTCATAGTGTCGACACTGGGCCTTACTCACCACACCACATGTAGACCCCCCTACAATGTCTCCCCTCCTGTAATTTTTTCTCAAGTGTCTCCTTAACGTTACCAAAAGTCTTCAATGCTTTGCTTGTTCCTTAACGTTACCAAAAGTCTTTTCTTGCTTGACCTTTCAGGACCCCCCTTCATTCAACACTTGGTACCACATGTAGACCCCCCTTCAATGAAGACATAATGTAAAGCGAGATTACACCAAGTTGCATTATGCCTTTATTTTCAGCTTCAAGTTGGTGATATCTTGTTTTCCGTGACACGATGCATTGCTTTATTTTTTGTTGGTCGCATTGCTTTTCCCTTGCGATTTGATATGATACGAGTCCTCTTAACACCGCAAATCACTAATACAACCACGATGTAGCTTCCTACTGATGGTTATCCACCCATACTTCTAACAAAATCTCCTATCAACCTAGCCTACAGCGTAAAATAGGTTCGCCGATGAAGCAGCCCAATGTTGCTTGATGACTTTGATTGACCAGTCTGCCTTCATCAACATCAGGTATGTCTCGTCTAATACTACCCTACTCTCCTCGTACTTTACGCCCAACCCTTCATCCTCCAATAACCATCGCCACTATTTGGCTATGATGAGAAAAATTGAGCTATTATTACTATCGAGTAACTTTCTCTTGAGCACAACGCTCAGTGACCACTCACAGATTGCGCCTTCGGCCTAGCTTTGCCCAGCCTCATTTTTCAGCACCCTAATCCTCTTTTACAAGCTTAATGAGGCTCATCTAGAAGTTGATTGGGCCCCAGTAGCTTCGACTACTTGATGGTTGAGCCCCTACTGGTTAGTCGAAGATAGTGTGTGAAGCATCTCCACAAGGCCTTGCTATATTTTTGGGTGCGCACCTTTACTTAGGGCGGGCAAAACCCCATTTTGCATTGTCGACGTTCCTCTCCTCGCATTCAGTTCTTCAACGTTTTCGTTTTCCTCCTTTTTGTTTTTACTCTTCTTCAATGAAGTGTGACTTGGTAGGGAGCAAGGATAACTACATACTTGTAAGATCGTCGAGTTCACATTTTAAGTAGCACAACCAATGGCCTATTCAAAGAGGTTTAGCACACATCGCGTAGCAATATAACAAATTGTGCGCCAGATGCATGAACCTCATAGCAATGCAAGATGTTGAATGGTGTGGCATCCGAACTCAACAACGTTTTGTTGATATGTTTTCGGTCGAATCAGCAGATTGGCCTAATTAATTCATGATTTGACATTGAGTTGGTTGGTCGGTTAGTTCGGTGGTTACTCGGTAATTTGGTAAGCTGGTTCTACGTTGCGACTTGTACTCACCCTCATACGAGTACAAAATCTCCTGTACTCGTACGCTACTCCTACGCTAGGCGCCCGTACAACTTTTTTTTCCGCAAATTATAATAAAAATTTGCAGGTGACGCTGAGCCAAATGTTGCTTGTTTTGTGTTGTTGGAACACTTTTCCAGATTTATTTTATGACTTTTTTTTTTTACCTCATACGGAAGCGTACAAAACGTACGGGTTTCCAACTTGTACGTTTCGTACGGAAAGGCCTCGTACGTGTACGTTCGGTAACGTAGAGCTGGTTGGTCAATGGGTCTATTGGTCAGTGGGCTGATTGGTTGATTGGTTGATAAGTTGGCCAGTTGATTGGTTGTCTAGTTGATTGATTGACTAGTTGATTGGTTGACAAGTTGATTGGTTGACATGTCGATTGATAATCAATTGATTCATTCAGTCATTCAACGGTTCATTCATTTATCCATTACCTCCATTTATTTTTTTCTAAGTAATGTTCGTTGAATAAAATTATCAAATTATGTCAAATTGTATTTACTATTACCAATAAATCGTTCATTGTGTGACTGTTTGTTATTTGATTAATGAGATTGATGGATTCAAATACCTAGTTTGCTTAATTGAAGTTAATTCATTTAGTTAACTTGTTCATTTACATAAATTTAGTATTGGTTGGCTGATTTAATTAATTAAGTCGAATTAATTGAATAAGGTTATCAATCATTTTTTTTTTTTATCGTCTAAGATTTCTGAATATCTGCTATACTGATTATTGCATACAGGAGTCACCTCATCTTCCACGGCAAACCAACGAAGATGGAGCGCATACACCTTAATATAACAGGAGAGGTGATGTTTCTATTTTTCTCTTTTTTTTTTATATTACATTTCGTTCTTTCTTTTTTTTAATCATTTCATTCAGTTGTTATTCACCTCTTCCAACTTCAATTTCGACAGGGTATGTTTCAGAAGGATGATTTATTTTCTTCAGTTCCTCCTATTTTTAAACCACAATGCAATTGATTATGGTGAGATATATAAGAACGTTATTCAAAAATCATATTTTTCGACCAAGCGATGTAATAGCCTAATAGCCTAATAGGCATTCAAATATTATTTTTTCAACCAAAAGATGTAATAGCTATGGTCCAATATGTATGCACCTTTTTAAGAAACATTTTGATCTCAACACAAGTTGCAAGAACAATCAAGACTCTGAAGGTGAATTTGAACTTCCACAATATTATTTGCTTTCATTTGATATTTGCTCTTTTTATATATATATATCTTAGTGTCTAGGAAGTTTTTCATGCCCGGCCAGGCCTGCACGGCTAGGCACCCGGGCGTGCAAAAAAAAAAAAAAAAAAAAAAAAAAAAAAAAAAAAAAAAAAAGCCTTTCTGCACTCTCCTAGAGGACCCCAAATCCGGGTTCGTTTCATTTTTGAGAGTTGGCTGTCAAGGGGGAGAAGGGGGGGTATAAATTGTTTTGAAAGGGGCTCAGAGGGGTTAAGGGGGATCCTTTAGTGTGATTTTGTTTTTTGTTTTTTTATCTCCGATTCCGTGAGGAATTCTGATGTGACCCTCAGCCAAAAGTTGTTTGTATTGCAATTCTACACAACATCTTCTTTTCCTGGAATTTTGTGACTTTCGTTTTTTTTTTTTTTTTTTTTTTTTTTTCGCTGGGGCTGCCCGGAACCCTGCCCGGGGGTTATGCCCGGCCGGGCCCCCGGGCGTGTATCCGGGCACAAGTTGGGTGCCCGGGCGCCCGGAAAAAACAACCTATATATATATATATATTCTAATATTTATGAAATTTTATCATATAACCTTTTATTTCATTTCACTTTGTTTTATTTTTTCAATTTTTTTGTGTCATTATTTATGTTTGTTTCCAAGCCTTTGTTTTTTTTAGGCCAATTCATATACTCCGTCAGTGTTATTTCATTAATATTTGTTTGGTTGTCTTTTTTTCGTTTACTTTTGTTTAAGCTCTCAAGTTTTATCATTTTTAATTTATATTTTGTTTCATTGCTGTTTGTTTGATCGCTTTATCTCGTTCACTTTTGTTTAGGCTTTCAAATTTTATGATTTTTAATTTATATTTTATATCGCTTCACTTTTTCATTTGCTTTTATCTCATTCCTATTATGATTTTTTTTTTGCTTCAATTTACAGACCTACCAGCCGTGCCACCGAGGTCCCGAAAGCTGGCACGGGATCTTCTCAGGACAACTGGCCGAGCAACTGGGTCGGGCGGGGTCTGGGCCATATCCCACAAAAAAAAAGTAGGTTGTGCACAACAGCAAACCAAACAACTTTTGGCTGAGGTTCACTTCCAGATTTTTCACAAAATTTGAAATAAAAACGAAACAAAGTAAGGAGGATTATCTCACACCCTTTGAAGGCCCTTCAACCCCTTTCAAGCCCTTTTAAGGCTTGTCCCCTCCCCTTCACCCTCCAAAACTGGCGTGAACAATAACTCATATAAGACCGGATTCGGACATCTGTAGGGG